GGGTAAGTTTTATAAAATCTCAGAATTTGTCTTCAAGTTTTGGATAGAATAGAATCACTGCTTCGACTTACTACCTATTCCTCTTACAGGGACATTATCATAAAATAAAACACTTGTTATTAGTAAGAGGGGAAGGCTAGAACCTCCATCACATTTTTATTACTGTATAAGGGATTTCCCCATAATTTCATCCCAGTCACAATGTTTTTACCTGAACAGGAAAGAAAGGGAAACTTCCCTAATGGGACACAGTAAGCAAAACCACCGTGACAGATATCCTAGCCTTTGCCTACTCTATCCAAAACTAAAAAACTGAAAACCTGAAAACGAAAGTTATTGGATACATGTTATTGTAGGCAGCAGATGGTGTACTGTTGTAGTACTGAATTCAATTCAATTCCTAATGTGTCAGACACCTTTCATCTGGACCGGAAGTGGGGGTAAATCTCCACTAGGGGACACAGAAAATAAATATGCAAAAAAGTTTTTAGTTTTTTTTTAATATCTCTTTATTTTATTTTATAACGTTCATCATTTTACATCATGATTTCATGAACAAATTATACATAAATAATCACAAACAAAATAGGTATTATACTGGAAAAGAGATTTAATATTTGTCTAAATTACCAAAGGGGAAATATTTCCCTCACTTCCTCTTCTGTGTGATACCAATCCAATAGACAGGAAGGCAATAGAAATCTCTCAAATGAGGCACACACAACAGAAAAATATTGACAGACTAATCATTCCTTATTTAAAAAAAGATTTTTGGCCTAAGCTGAGCTTTCAATTTTTCATCAGTGTATAAAAACAGCTAGGGATTATAAATTGTCATTTCTATAGATGAGTTAAAGAGTGTGATTGCTGTATGAACAGAGAAACTCCCAGGTGTACATCAGTCCAGCTGGCCCATGCCTCTTTCACAGAAATAAGATGAATTGCTGTTATCCTGTCATCATCTGAGGTGTGGACATATTAATGACTGCTCTTAGTGTGTACCTTCCAGTACCTGTCTAATATCATTTTCACTCTCGTTAATAGAAGTGTGAAAAATGTCATAGTGCTTGTCATTTAGCAGTAAATCAGTTTTGTGGAAGATTCGATTTTTCAGGAATAAAAATGGAAATGCAGCGGCTATGTAGAGATATATTTTTACTACGACAAGTAATGGATTGCATGCTGATAAAACAGATCTCAAATAACTTGAGTGAAATACTTTATACAAATATTCATTGTGGAATCCATATAAACAAAGTATGTTTGTCTTTCTGAATGCCAATTATTAAAATTCTTGAACAAACTTAACAGTAATACAGAGAATGCCATCAGATGTGTATCAATAGAGCAGCAACAACCTCTGCAGCACTTTCCAGAATTTGTAGACAATTCATATTAGCCTCTAAAAGAGCTTACAGTTTAATGTTTCTGCCACAGACATAAAGAAACGTAACGTGGTGGGTACCCACCTTGAAACCCACCAGAGAAGGACAGGGCTGGGGGGGCAGGAGGGCATTTCTCCCCTGGGCCAATACTAATAAGTTATGAGTGGTTGGTCATTCTGGGTATTGACGCCTCATCACTCAGAAATAAATTGGGACACCCTCTGGACATTGTAGAGCTACCTACTCCACATTCAGACTTGCAGTCACAGTGTCCTACAAAGGAAAGTCTTCCAGCACTAACTCCCTTTGTAGCTCTGAGATGTTGTGTGACAAAAGCCAAGGGCCACAAAGGATGTGGGTGCTGGAAGATATAAAAAGGGGTGTCACTTGCTTGTATTTGCCTCCTAAGGCCAACGGTTCCCAGTCCTCCCCTGCTACCCACCATAGTAGAATTAGTCTTTTGCTGGTTGCATTTATCCTTGAAAAGCAACCCCGGTTTACTCGGAGCATTTTGCTAAAAGAAGACTAACAATAGGATTGTAAAACCTAGGTGAAAAAAATAGGATGCTGCCCAGATAATTGCAATGGATAAGGGAAGGGGGAGAAGGAGAGCTCATCTAGGGGGGTACTATAGGTTGCGAATTAGGTTTTCTATGCCTAATGGGTGGATGTATAGGGTTATTTTTTTCATATTTTGTCTTTCACATCTATGTATTTATAGTCCCTTAAAACTCTTGAACCATGCTCCTTCATAATGTGACCTTTTTCCCTTGGATAATTTATAAAGCTAAAATTATAGCATTCTTGTGTTATGTAGGGGACATTAGAAGTGAACATATGACCACTGTACATGAAAATACCTGAAGTCTTAAAACTTAATTTACCATCTAAGCCATTCAATATATGAGCAGATATAAATCATCTTAAAAGGTTACGGAAGATTGATATATATCTGATTATCAGTAGGTAATGTCTAATCTATCCAATAATCTGTCCATCTGTAGGCCATGTATATATTGTTCCAGGTCTATAGTTATATTGCATTTATTCATTCCCAACATTAAGTGAAATGTCTATTTGAAAAGAAATAAAAGCACATCATCAATTCATGACATTGTACTTTGTAAGTCATCTCCTCTTCCCACCCTCAATAAACCTTTAGTGTACACTCACACTTTGAAGTCTAAATTCCTGACTAGGCAGCTACTCATCATTTATATAAAACCCAAATCTCTGGCCATGTTCCACTTTGATCTCCCCTGTCCACACCCCTCCATATCCTTCAAAGATGAATTAAGCAGGTCAGCTGTTTAGGCTTTTAATCTGTCACCTTTTCCTCTCTAAGCAACCAAAGACATATTTATAGTAATAAATGTTTGGGACTTTGTAATGTATTCATTCTTGTCAGTCATGTCTGTGGAATTAAATGGTTTTACCACCTTTTCATTAAAGAAAAGGCATTGAAACAGCCTGTTGTCAAAACAAATAATATACCTTTAGAAAAACAAAATACATTGAATGTATTGATTCTCTAAATTATGCAATTCTCTATTTAAAAAGAATCCTACTTCAATCTAATGTCTGTTTTGGGAGGAGAAAAATTAGACACCTGGTAGCATGCGGTGGTGGATGCAGAATGTCTCTTGTGCAAAAAATAAGGTTTAGACTATCCCTTAACATAAACCCCCTTGGTCCTGCAGTGGACCTACCTGCATTTTCCAGGGTTCCTTATGGCTAATTTTCATTTTTGCCTCAGGCTAAAGGAAACCTGACTGCACCTGGAAACTCCTTCTCGAAGTAGCTCCACTCCTTGTCGATTTATTTAGGGACTGATAGAAATTTCATTTGAAATCATCTAAGTTAATTTTAAAAGTCCATTAAAGTGAAAGTGTGATCTATAGCTCTGCAATCAGCAAAATGCATGCTCCCTACTAATTGGAAACTCTAGCTCTGACTTAGCAGGGGGAGTATTGAAGCTCTGTAGAAGTGTAGCAAGACCACTGCTTGTATACAGAGAGCAATATTCCTTCTTCACAGCTTACTGACAGAGGACAGCCTTTTTTCTAAGGCTAGTTTCACACCTGCACTACACCGCACGACACCCGGGACGCGCGATCGTGTTCAGGTGCACACAGCGATTGCGGCGGGGCCCCATTGATTTCAAGCCGCGATCGTTTTCGGAAGCACGTGTTCGGATCACGTGTACGTGATCTTTCGGGCGTGATTGGGGTGCCATTAGAAAATAATGGCACCCACAGCGCAATTGGTTCACACCTCGGCGACTCCTGACCGCGCGGCAATCCGCGTGCAATCGTGCACGATTGCCACATGGTGAAGTGTCGCCTAGGTGTGAACCTAGCCTAAAGAAAACAAACTGTAGGACTTTGCACACCTTTGTTTTCCTGCACCTATAATGAATTCAGCTGATCTATACTAAAAGTTCACTTAGGCCTAAAGACTTTTCTAAACACCATCTTCCACCTCCATCTTCTCCAATTGTTCTTCCTGGTCCCTGTCACACCTCTTTGGACACCAGGTGACCACTGAAAATGTTACTCCTTCACCTGTGCATAGAAGCTATATCGCCCTGGCGCTCTGCTTCATTCTTGGCATCTCATAGACGCCAGCAATGGACCAAGAGTGTACGTTGCACTGCACATGTGCTATCTGACACATCTGAGTGTGTCAGACAGTATATCCCCCACTGCATGCTATGATTCCTCCTGCCAACCATTACATCAGTAGAGAACATAGTACTCAAAGGGAGGAACCACAGTGTACTTGAAGCAAGCTAAGATTTCTCTCACCTCTTGCCAGACATGTACTGTATGTATTTAACCTACTCTTTTTCAAGCGTGGCTGTCATTGATTAAGGACAATGACAGGGTTGCATTAAAAAAACAAACTTACTGGGCATGAAATGAGTAAGTAGTAATAGAGCAAAGCTGTAAATCACTGACTGCACACACTGTAGTCCATGAACCCATTGCACTCAAGACGGCTTAACAACTGGTGGGTGCTACGGTGACCAACGGATGGCACAGGGAAAATCACACAGTAAAGATGGGGCCTCGGCACTCCAAATAGTGAATAGTGCATCTTTTATTTACGTAAATGCAACATATCACATAAATGAAATGTTTCGAGGTCATGCAGGATCCCCTTCTTCAGGCAGACATGCCATCACATGTTTTGCCCGAAGAAGGGAACCTGCATGACCCCGAAACGTTGCATTTATGTGATATGCTTCATTTACGTCAATAAAAGATACACTATTCACTATTTGGAGTGCCGAGGCCCCATCTTTACTGTGTGATCCATCTTTAATTTGTGACTGCACACACTGTTCCTTATCTGCAGCTTTGAGTAATGTTGAAGGAAGCAACCGGAAGCAGTCAATACATTTGTCACGGTTCCTATAGCTGCATTTGGCATAGGTGTACACTAAAAGTGCTGGAGACAACCTCCAAAGCTCTAGACATACACAAAGAACCTGTCTGTCTCTATTCGCCTCCTGTTCCTTCAACTAGGTGGAAATAACACTTTTCTTTCCCTCGCAGGGTTCCTTTATGATTAAGTTTTTTGTCATTAATGTTTTCTCTTTGTTTATTACAGTATTCAACAGGTGGGAGCTATCCCGTTACATACATTTCTACATCACACTATCCTTATCAAAGGATTGCACCACAAGCTGGCATAGAGCCCCAACAGCCTCTCTATCCCAAACCTATCTATTCCTACAGGTAAGCCACAAGATTCTCTTATTTTGTCTCATGCTATTAATGCCTGGCATGTAGAGCTTTAGATTCAAATATTGTTGGAGAAAATATTTTTACTTCTCACTTGTGCAATTGTTAGCTCGGTGATGAAACTTGTGGTATCCTTTCTGCCTGTCTTCCAAGTTAAAAGTAATTATAAATATTAAATCCCAAATGTCCAGTATTTCACATACACATTTGGTAGACACTATATAGGAAACCAGATTGTCAATTTACTAAAATGGTCATACTTTAAAGCAAAAACACTGTTGCTACCAGTAGAAACCAATAGAGTTAAACAAAACAATTAAACAGAATATCTCCACATTTGCCCATTTTGCTTTTCTCCAGTTTCCACACTTTAGACCTACCCTGAATTCAACTTCCCTGAGCATCTCACAGTGTACATTAGAATTTCCTGCAAGTTAAAAAGATCCTGCCTCATTTCCTGGCTAGTGGACATCCAGCATCACCAATTCTTTCCTCCCCAGTTTGATGGCCCTGGTCTTCCACTTTTATTAGTTAGTTTTCAGTTTGTTCTGAGGCTCTGTATCACATGTGGGCATTGCCTAGCTAAGCATGGAAAAAGGATCCAATGCACATTCAATCTCAGGGCACCAGTCACTTTAGTGAGCTCAAAACAAGAACTGGTATATTTCAAATTGCAATATGGGAAGAAGGGTGAGATGTGGATCAGGATCCCCAAAAGATAAATGGTCTCAAATACCAAACTATGCTTCCTAAATCTCTGACAAATGTCTTTCTCCCTTTTGAACACTGGCTGGACAGAGCTTTTGAATCCTTGGCAATTGAGGTTCAAATGGTATCTCAATATTTATGTGCCAAGGAAGGACAACATGGTTAGGTTCCTCCCCCTTAACAACATCTCTTTTGTGGGGGGCAGTGGCAGCTTGCTTCCTCTGGGCTATTCCGTCTTCCGACTACAGCAGCCAGCATTTTTAGGAATACCATTCAGGAGGGGAGATCCCTGCTTCTTTGCTTTCCCTAGTCGCTAAAGCCTGGGAATAAAGACAGTTGTTTTACAGTAACTTCTACCCAGGGCAGAAACCCATGAGGGAACAGACAGAATAGGAAATGTCCCAAATTAATTTTACAGATCTCACAGCAAGCATGAATAGGACCCCCAAGTTTGCTGATTGGTTAAGCAATGAAACATGCATAACACAGAATGATACCTCTCTAGCACACCCTGCTGGAGCAAACTCAAACAATAAGTGGCAGAGAAAATACACTCTATGTCTAGAGATTACTTAGGCTCTGGTACAGATGGGCTAACTACACCCAGCTGCTTTCTAAAGAATCACAAAAATACAAAAAGAAATCAAAAATACTACAATCCTACTTTAAAATTTGTGCAAGGGATACATCAAAAGTTATATTTTAGTGGGACTTCTCTCCATCCTCAGACCACACAGACTGATTTTTTTCTCAGACTTGACCTGTCAGATCACCATAATTTACCAACAACTGGGTCTGCTTGACTGAGCATAAATGATATGGATTGTTGAGGTAGGTCCCCACACTAAGCAGCTGCTAGTAAATTTCACTGATCCAACAGACAGAATGCAAAACAAAATGTGTATGTTGCCAGCATAAGCATCTCAAACACCCCAATCACCAGTGCTGCACGACTTCACATACACTATGATTTGTCTTTGTATTTCTATTTTTGTAAGTTATTTTTAACAGCAGAAATATGACTTTCAGGTTGAACAGTTCATGGCCTTTTCATTCTCCCAAATTCCACTGCAAAAATGCACCGCTGGGCAAATTCCTCTTTCCTCTTGAATTATTGTGCTTAGGAATCATTTCAGAATTTAAGACCAGGTCCATGGAAGTTAAATCTTCTGTTCCACTTTATGTAAAGAAATGTTAAAATACTCCTATGACTACTGTCCCACGGGGTTTATGAGTGGAGGGAAAAAAGCAATTACAAATGTCACTTTGACAGTACTGCGGGGTTACATTTTTTTACATAGGCTATGGTTCAGTAATAGCATACTACTTTTGAATAGTGTTGCAGCACAAAATGTATATTTACCAAGCGTATATGACTGTACTATTTTTTGGCCCTAGATTAACACCATAGGGGAGCCCGGTACTGTTAGTTCTTTTCAGCATCATAAACAAAGGCAGTGCAGCAATAGCCCTGATCTCTGAGACAACGTTCACACCTAGGCGATTTATCACGTGGATTTAGCCCACAAAACATACAAAAACATTTAAAAAAAAGTAGGTTCCCTCCTTGACAGCAAAGTGCCCCCTTCACATCAGAGTCACCCTTTGCATCAGTTTCCCCCCTTTAACATCAGAAGCCCCTTTCATATCAGAATCTCCCCTTTCACCTCAGAGTTCCTTCTTTACATCTGGAGCCCCCTTCACATCTGTCTTCATTCCTCCTTCACATTACAGTCCCACTACCAATACATTTTGAGGCACCCCTGAGAAAGCCAGAAGGAACACCAGGGTGCCGCGGCATCCTGGTTAAAAAAGGATGCTCTACGCCATGGGTCTCAAACTCAATTTACTCGGGGGCCGGTTACCAAATGTCATGCTTCAAAATAAAATGTAACTATATACGGTACCCGTGTTAATGGCTGCGCATGTAACAAGGGTTTACAAATGGCAACTGTCACCCATTCAAGTTAATGATCAGGTGACAGCTGCTGCATGTAAGCGCCTGCATACCGCATGTAATCATATATGAAAGGGTTACATGCAGTTAGGAATCAATTACTATCCCTGGATACACAATCATGTCCACTTTTGCTGGACAGCTCGGTCTGCAAACACTGTTTGTGTATTCTGACAGCGTCCAGCAGCCACTGTCAGAATGCAAAGGAAACAGCGGGGGATTCATCCACTAACATTCGTAAGCATTGATGGAGGAATCTGTTCTATCCTTTTCGTTCAGCCCGCAGTTTGATTGAAAAAACAGAACAGTGAATGGTCAGCGTTTCTCTCTTTTATTTATCAAACATGTATTATTCTGCTTTTAACACCTTTTTGTATTTACTTTGAAAGCATTCTAATATTCATGGCCCTGAAGAACAGTAAAACTGGAAGTCTTCCTGTGAGTGAGATCTATAATTTTATGACCGAACACTTTCCTTATTTCAAGGTAAGGAGATCAGTTCATGTAAATGTTTATCTGAAAATAAGGTTTTTTGGTTGAAACTGTCCCGGACAGAAGCTTACCTAACTGCTCAAACCAGCATATCAGCTAAACTGACACATATACAAACATGTCAACTTAACTTGTGAGCACATGACATTTATGAAAAGACATATTGGTGCTCCATGTATAACCTCTTCATGCGGATTTTCATTAGCTGTTGCCAGATAGGAATGTACAGTATATTTGAATTTGTTGACCCCAAAGCAATTGTGCATTTATTAACCCAAAACAGATAAAAAATGCATGACGTGTCACAGCTGTCTGTCGTCCCTGTACTCATCTCCGCTATTCTGACAGTCATTGTTTTGTCCTGTATGCAGGACTTTGATATTTTCTTAGTTATTTAAGGCCCCATTCACACTGAGCGATTTATCGCACGGTAATTCCCGCGATATTGCAGCTATTTACCGCACGATATCGCTCTCCAATGCATGGCAATGGGGCTCTGTCCGTCGCTGTCGCGGGTCGTGCGTCGCTACAGCAGGACCCTTTTTGGAGCGGATTTTACCACGATTCTAGCTTGCTCAATGCAAGCATTTGCGCGATATCGCGCGACAAACGCGCAATATTGCGCAAAATGCAAATCGCGTGATAAACGCGCGATTTGCGAATCGCTCAGTGGGAATGGGGCCTAAAAGGGTGTTAGAACTTTTAATACAGCCTTATGTATTGGAGACAGTCCTAAGGGTGTATTTATAAAAAATGTGCAGTGCCATTCACCCTGCGAAACCGCATTTACATTTGTTCTGTGTGAATGGGACAAAAACAAATGTTGTTAAGATATTATTAGTATGCTATTAATATTTTTTTTCCAGGTTGAGATATCAGGAAAATGCCGCATTATGACCACTAGATGGAGGGGAAGTTCATGATCATGATCTGATCCTCAGCTCCATCTAGTGGCCATAATGAGGTCTATTCCTGATATCTCATCCTGGAAAACAAACATTAATAACAATTGCTTTTACCCCATTCGCACAGATCTATGTGGTGGTATTTTACCGATTTAGTATAATCTTATTTATTTATTTATTACAGGTATTTATATAGCGCCAACAATTTACACAGCACATTCACATCAGTCCCTGCCCTCAAGGAGCTTACAATCTAAGGTCCCTATCTCACACATACTACGGCCAATTTAGACAGGAGCCAATTATCCTTCCAGCATGTCTTTGGAGTGTGGGAGGAAACCCACGCAAGCACAGGAAGAACAAGCAAACTCCTTGCAGATAGTGTCCCGACCAGGATTCACACTGGGGAACCTTGTATTGCAAGACAGAAGTGCTAACCAACAATCAACTGTGCTGTCTAATCTTATGAATAATTACTTTCAACCTGGAAAGAAAATATACTGACAACATTCATTTTTACCCCAGAAGGAATGTACTGTACATGCAGTTTTGCAGGAGAAATGGCTCTGTGAATACTTTATAATTTTCCTCCATAATGTGTTTGCTAAGCAGACACTGTCAGATGGGCATTTTTATTTTCACTGTATTACAGTGTGGCAAATAATTATTTGAATCCCTGCAGATTTTGTAGGTTTGCCCACTTACAAAGAAATGAAAGGTCTATAATTTTTTATCATAGGTGTATTTTAAATGATAGAGACAGAAAATCAACCAAAAATCCAGAAGAACACAGGATACAAATGTTATAAATTGAGTTGTAGTTCAGTGAGTAAAATAAGTATTTGATCTCCAAGCAAAACATGACTTAGTACTTGGTAGAGAAACCCTCGTTGGCAAGCACAGAGTTAAGACGTTTCTTGTAGTTGGTTACCAGGTTTCCACACATCTCAGGAGGGATTTTGGTCCACTCTTCTTTACAGATCTTCTCTAAATCCTTAAGGTTTCTTGGCTGTCGCTTGGCAACTCAAAGTTTCATGTAAATGTTTATCTGAAAATAAGGTTTTTTGGTTGAAACTGTCCCGGACAGAAGCTTACCTAACTGCTCAAACCAGCATATCAGCTAAACTGACACATATACAAACATGTCAACTTAACTTGTGAGCACATGACATTTATGAAAAGACATATTGGTGCTCCATGTATAACCTCTTCATGCGGATTTTCATTAGCTGTTGCCAGATAGGAATGTACAGTATATTTGAATTTGTTGACCCCAAAGCAATTGTGCATTTATTAACCCAAAACAGATAAAAAATGCATGACGTGTCACAGCTGTCTGTCGTCCCTGTACTCATCTCCGCTATTCTGACAGTCATTGTTTTGTCCTGTATGCAGGACTTTGATATTTTCTTAGTTATTTAAGGCCCCATTCACACTGAGCGATTTATCGCACGGTAATTCCCGCGATATTGCAGCTATTTACCGCACGATATCGCTCTCCAATGCATGGCAATGGGGCTCTGTCCGTCGCTGTCGCGGGTCGTGCGTCGCTACAGCAGGACCCTTTTTGGAGCGGATTTTACCACGATTCTAGCTTGCTCAATGCAAGCATTTGCGCGATATCGCGCGACAAACGCGCAATATTGCGCAAAATGCAAATCGCGTGATAAACGCGCGATTTGCGAATCGCTCAGTGGGAATGGGGCCTAAAAGGGTGTTAGAACTTTTAATACAGCCTTATGTATTGGAGACAGTCCTAAGGGTGTATTTATAAAAAATGTGCAGTGCCATTCACCCTGCGAAACCGCATTTACATTTGTTCTGTGTGAATGGGACAAAAACAAATGTTGTTAAGATATTATTAGTATGCTATTAATATTTTTTTTCCAGGTTGAGATATCAGGAAAATGCCGCATTATGACCACTAGATGGAGGGGAAGTTCATGATCATGATCTGATCCTCAGCTCCATCTAGTGGCCATAATGAGGTCTATTCCTGATATCTCATCCTGGAAAACAAACATTAATAACAATTGCTTTTACCCCATTCGCACAGATCTATGTGGTGGTATTTTACCGATTTAGTATAATCTTATTTATTTATTTATTACAGGTATTTATATAGCGCCAACAATTTACACAGCACATTCACATCAGTCCCTGCCCTCAAGGAGCTTACAATCTAAGGTCCCTATCTCACACATACTACGGCCAATTTAGACAGGAGCCAATTATCCTTCCAGCATGTCTTTGGAGTGTGGGAGGAAACCCACGCAAGCACAGGAAGAACAAGCAAACTCCTTGCAGATAGTGTCCCGACCAGGATTCACACTGGGGAACCTTGTATTGCAAGACAGAAGTGCTAACCAACAATCAACTGTGCTGTCTAATCTTATGAATAATTACTTTCAACCTGGAAAGAAAATATACTGACAACATTCATTTTTACCCCAGAAGGAATGTACTGTACATGCAGTTTTGCAGGAGAAATGGCTCTGTGAATACTTTATAATTTTCCTCCATAATGTGTTTGCTAAGCAGACACTGTCAGATGGGCATTTTTATTTTCACTGTATTACAGTGTGGCAAATAATTATTTGAATCCCTGCAGATTTTGTAGGTTTGCCCACTTACAAAGAAATGAAAGGTCTATAATTTTTTATCATAGGTGTATTTTAAATGATAGAGACAGAAAATCAACCAAAAATCCAGAAGAACACAGGATACAAATGTTATAAATTGAGTTGTAGTTCAGTGAGTAAAATAAGTATTTGATCTCCAAGCAAAACATGACTTAGTACTTGGTAGAGAAACCCTCGTTGGCAAGCACAGAGTTAAGACGTTTCTTGTAGTTGGTTACCAGGTTTCCACACATCTCAGGAGGGATTTTGGTCCACTCTCAGACCTTCTCTAAATCCTAAGGTTTCTTGGCTGTCGCTTGGCAACTCAAAGTTTTAGCTCCCTCCATACATTTTCTATAGAATTAAGGTCTGGAGACTGGCTAGGCCATTCCATGATCTTAAAGTGCTTCTTGAGCCACTGCTGTGTTGCCTTGTCGGTATGTTTTGGGTCATTGTCATGCTGAAAGACCCATCCACGACCCATCTTAAGTGTTCTGGCTGAGGAAAGGAGGTTCTCATCCAAGATTTTACAATACATGGCCCCATCCATTGGCCCTTCAGTGCGGCAAAGTCGGCCTGTACCTTTAGCAGAGAAACAGCCCCAAAGCATAATGTTTCTACCTCCATGCTTGACTGTAGGAATGGTGTTCTTAGGGTCAGCATTTTTCTTCCACCAAACACGGTGAGTCGAGTAAATGCCAAAGAGCTCAATTTTGGTCTCATGATCTGACCACAGCACTTTCTCCCAATCCTTCTCTGAATCATTTAGATGTTCCTTGGCAAACTTCAGACGGGCCTGTATATGTGCCTTCTTGAGGAGGGGGAGCTTGTGGACGCTGCAGGATCTCAATCCATGGTGGTGTATTGCGTTACCAATGGTTTGTTTGGTGACTGTGGTCCCAACTGCCTTGAGATCATTCACAAGCTCCTTCCGTGTAGCTCTGGGATGATCCGTCACTTTTCTCATGATCATCCTTACCCCATGAGGCAAAATCTTGCTTGGAGCTCCAGACTGAGGGTTGATTGATGGTTATTTTTTATTCCTTTCAGCCTTATGCAGGTCTTCAATCCTGTCCATAACGTCCTTTGACAGCTCTTTGGTCTTGCCCATGGTGGTGAGGTTTGAATGGAAGAAAGAGATTCTGTGGACAGGCGTCTTTTATATACATAACGAGTTGTCGTTAGGAGCACCTTCTTAAATTGATAGGACTAATCTGTGTACCACATAGCCAGGTCTGCAGGAGCCAGAATTATTGTTGGTTGGTAGGGGATCAAATACTTATTTTACTCACTGAACTGCAACTCAATTTATAAACATTTGTATCATGTGGTTTTTCTGGATTTCTGGTTGATATTCTGTCTCTATCATTTAAAATACACCTATGATAAAAATTATAGACCTTTCATTTCTTTGTAAGTGGGCAAACTTACAAAATCTGCAGGTGATCAAGTCATTATTTTCCTCACTGTATATTGCACTGCATTGTCTAACCTTGTAAGATTCAGAAATTCATTGATGACGTCAGTTCATCCAACCCCTGTGCGATTTATGTCAGCAAAGCGATTGAGAGATTCGTGTGGATGTCTGTGCAGCAATGTGCCAATAATGTTAGCATTTACAAGATTAAAATTAGTTAAGCTAGTGTTAGGGCTTAGCGGAAGAGGTTATGAGTGACAATAAAAGTTAACAGTGGTCATTTTTAAGATCATGGTTGAGGTAAAGAGACAAGTCTATCTATAGCGAAAACATTTTTGGTTCCCTATGGGAAGATTTTCCTTCACTCCCTGTCCTGGAGACACAACATGAAGTCAAAGAAAACTGGAAATTCCCTCTGAGATAGCTATCATAAGAACAGAATATTTACTCTGGCCTACAATATTGGTGATAACTATTACATTTTAGATTTCTTTCCACTTGGTGGCATTGGTCATTAGGACAAACAGAGGTTAATTTTTCATAGGGGAGACACAGACAGTAACAAAATCCCACTAGGAGTACTAACGCTTCCCTACTCTAGCCAAAAAAAAAAAAGTTTTGGCTACAGCTAATTTACTGATTCGGTTATTTTTTAGGTGTCTGTATTTTTATAGATGGAGCTGAGGAGCATAGGAAATAAATACTTATTCAATGTGCTCCTCAGCTCCACCAAGTGGCCATAATGTACTACTGCAACACACTACATTTGAACTGGGGGGAAAAATATATTACAAAAAACAAGGGGAACACATAGGAGCTTTACGCTGAGTAAAATTGTATAGTAGTGACCAAATCCTAGGGTTTCAATAAACTATAAAAAATATATTAATAAAATTTTTGTTTTTGCCATTATTCACCCAAAAAATACATTCACAGATATTCGTAAGGCAAAGGTCCATGTGAATTGTTTTTTTTTTTAAAGGGCCCTTAGTGTTTGAAAAGGCCCAGGATACGTGTGAGGGTCAGCCTAAGAATCTGCTCATAGTTAGGGGTGTTTAAAACACTTTTTTGTACAATTGTTTTGGCACAGAAATCCCTGTTTGTCAAGAGCTGCCTGGTGCTAGGCTCTCAATGACAACAACCAATGTGTTCACTAGAGTTGACCACAGAGAAACAGGTCTTTTTTCAGTGCCAGAAACAGCCACATTTTTTTCTATGCCAATTAATGGATTTTCTGCATGTGTATGGAACATTTTGCTCTATTTCTCCTTAGAAAAGGGAATGATCATAATGGTCATAATGATCACAAAAAGACTATTGAACAGGTGCAACCGCAAATGCCTGTAGTAACAAGCACAAAATTCAGTAACTCCTATATGTTAACCCCTACACTGAAGTATTACTGCAAATTTGTTTTGTATTGCTTCTTGTGTATACCCCAGCTGGGGATCTGATGCCTTATGAAACAGGTTTAGAACTCATCAGGCATTTAGTAAAGCACATTCAGAAAGAGAAGGTGAAAGATAAAATATTGGCCAAGGAAAGGATAGGCTATTGGAAGAATTGTTGAAGATAAGGATGTATTTACTCACAGCTATCAATTGAAATTAAACCTTCACAGAGTAGATGTTGTTGGAGAAGTAACCATGCGTCCTCCATGGCAGTCAATCATGTTGAAGTTATTAAATTTGGTCTGGGGCTGGGCATTTAGGCTACAATTACCTCTAGTCATGAAGGTGTTTAACATTAATATTAGGGGGGGGGGGAGGAACAGGGTGGTCTTTACTTCTTTTATAAGTGCAATTAATTGTCTGTGCTGTAAATCCTAGCCTCTCTTGGTGTTTAACAATCCAGTACTGGGAATGGAAATTCCATGTAATTATCTGGGGTGGGAACAACTTGACAGAAGGCTGAATATGTGTTATTATGCAGAAAGACACAATAAAAATGATGCATGGCACTTGACATCTTCATGAGTGACATGAGTCCTATTTGTGGGCAGGGTGAGTGGAGAGTGCATTCTGTCTTGTCTTGGTTTCAAAAATTACAATTAGCAAGGCCACGAAATGAGCCTAATTGTCAGTGGCTTGTATGAGAAGTCCTGATTTAAGGGATTAGTCACAACAAAAATGTTGGTTGATTTCCTAACTTCAGTAATGATTATTCTGAAATCTACCATAACCTCAAAGCAAACATGTGCTATGAGAAACACAGAGGCTTGCACTGCACACGTAATTCTGAGAATACCAAGTGGCTGGCTGCCTCTGGTTTCAATTCTCACTGATCTGGCACAGCAGCAACCAAAGTCAGAGTCCTGACTGTTTTTGGTTACAGTCAGAAACTACTGAAGCCAAAGGATCACAATAACAGCAAGGGAAATAGAAATGTCAAAAATAGTGTCATAATGCATTCAGCGCAGTATAGTAAATGTTCATTGAGCACATATCTTTGATTTGTGATTTTTTTATATGACTTTCACATTTACTCTACTTTTTTCGTTATTTTATTAAAAGACAGCTCTATTTTCAATGTTTTCTAATTCCACACTCCTATCTCATGTTAAGCTAAATTGCTCTAACCTCTTCCCCCCACTGCTCATGTACCGTAGTTCCGGAGACACGGCCTCCTCTTGTGTTTACAGCGTGTTCTGACAAAAATATCTTCTGGTAGACAGGAATTGAAGAGAAATCTTCCAAAATGGGGAAACAGACAGCAATAAAATGTTGATGGAGATTTTTACCCTCACCCACTCTATTCGGGAACTAAAAAAAAATTTTTTGGGTGGAATTGGGCTTTAATCATGAGGCTGTCTAATGTAGCTAGCTACTAATAAACTGTTAATGTTATAAACGTGCCAGTGTCCAATTTATGGCAAAGCTTGCCCCTTGCCATAGGTATATCATGGTTGGTACCAGCCAACAGTGACACTTAATACTACAGGAGAAAAGATCGGAACTGGTAGTCGTGTCCATGGGATGGAGGGACGAAAAGTAATACATGGCCTAGTTTGTAGCTTCTCAAGGCAAGAATCAGTCAGCCAGGTTAGACACTAATGTATGAACATATGTCTTATTGCCTGGGGATTTGGATACACCTATATTTTGTATTTCATCCAGTTGGTTTCATTTAATAAAAAGTGTGAGAGAAAATGGTCTAAGACAATTTGTGTTATCCCACAGCGGCCAACCTTATTTCCCCTCACACAGTATCGGAAAACAGGAGCATCACAGACTCTATGAGACTATTCTCTTCTCATATATATACAACACCAGTAGAAAAAAAGTTGTAGGAGAGTCTAAATCTATGGGAATAGCATTACACAATAAATGACACTGTATTCGTTTGTGTTTTGTATTCTGCATGTTATTGTTTTGGTTTTGGGTGCTTAGAATAAATAGAAGACTAACAAACACCTCCTGTGTTTCCAGACTGCTCCAGATGGGTGGAAGAATTCCGTACGTCACAACCTGTCCCTCAACAAGTGCTTTGAGAAAGTAGAAAACAAATCTGGAAGTTCTTCCCGAAAAGGATGTTTATGGGCACTCAACCCCGCCAAGATTGACAAGATGCAAGAAGAATTGCAAAAGTGGAAGAGGAAGGACCCTGTTACTGTGAGGAAAAGCATGGCAAAACCAGGTATGCAAACTAGCCTAAATATCATGACATTCGATATATGAAGGTCCTATAAGCTAGTCAATAAAGAGCCATCCATAGAAGAAACCACACACCAAATATACTGTACAGTATTTTTGCAAAGGATTTAGAAGTTATATATTTGACTTCTACATGAAATCAGGGACTGCAAACAGAAACAAAGAGAGAAAGAGAAACTTCATGGAACATCAGGTGTGGACTTCCCCTATAGGGTCTATATCATAATTACAGGATTTGGAAATAGTTTAACCCAGCAGCACTAATAATAGTATAGAAAGTGATGACAGAAGTGCTCTACAGTTAGACCACTGAAGAGGCAGGGAAGGATTCAGAATGAAAGATAATCAAAATGGAAAAGTGAAACATAGTATGCTTGTGAGAGCCTGAGGCCTCATTCACACAGGGTAGAGTGGGGCCGTACAGACCCGTGCGGCATGCATGGCCGTATCAGACCGTTCCTGGGAAGGACAGGTGCTGCGTGTGATTTACACAGCAGCCTGTTCTTCCCTATGGGAGGACGCGGCTGTACGCTGTTGTACGTTCACCCGAGCAGCACATCCGTGCGGGTGCAGGTGCCCATACTCGGACGCAGACAGGAGGGATCCTGTGTGCATCTGAGCACGGACACTCGCACCCGGGTCTGTACGGCCCCACTCTACCCTGTGTGAATGAGGCCTAAATGAGACACTCTGGTTAAGCGGCAACATAGAAGGTGGACTTGCATAGACATTAAAAAAAAATAAAAAAATTTGATGGATATCAAAAGTTTGGGTTTTTTTCAGGATTTTATTTTTAATTATTTGTATCTATTTTTTAATTTATTTGTTTGGTTTTTTTCCTCCTCAGAGGACCTTGACAAGCTGATAGGAGAGAGAACAGAGAAGCTGAGGTCCGCCTTGCTGGCTTGCAATGCTTCTGGTCTAATGAATACATCTGCATCAATGCAGCTTACCATGCATGAACAAAACATTGCCTCTTCTTTGTCTGCCTCTCTGCAGCCCATGCATGATGTGTCTGAATCTATGCATGTCAAAAAGCAGCCACCATGTTATAATTCACTACCACATGGCTACCCTCAGATTTCACCAGCAATGATCCAGCAAACCCATAGCATGGCTCAGAACCACCATTTTTCTTCACCAGATAACCAAGGTGAAATAAATACTCAACCCATTAATCCCCAGGACTCTCCAATACCTGCCCATACCCCACCTCTTCACAATATGAAGATGATAACTGAGCATTCCCCAACCAGGACCATGCACGACCATCTGATAGAGGGGGAACTGAGCACTGACATTGATGCACTCAATCCTTCACTTACAGACTTTGAACTTCAAGGTATGATCTAATTACTGTCATTCATAGTTTTTTTCAGACAATAAAAAAACAGTTTTTGTAGCACATATATTTCTACAATGCCAAAGGTAGCCTAGCCACCTAAGTCAGAGGTTGCCATTAGGTTTAATTAAATGCGATAACTCTTGATGTAGATTTGCTACATTAGGGCTATATGCCAATATTGTAGTATATAAATATGCCATATGCTTGGTCACCTACTTCACATTGCTTATATATCTTCTTACAGCATATACATGGTTTGTGGTTGTTTCTTCCACAGTGTGAGTGGACATACAGAGGCCAATAGTTCCAAGCTTTATGAGGGTTGTTTGCAGTTTTAGGAAGGTTGTGACGACAGTCAAAACAGCAACTTACTTTTTCGTTTAATCTGCACCTTTTTTAAATGGAAGCCCCTACATAGATGGGATTCATTACTTTGAATATAAGCCTGTAAACCATAAGAAATGTGCATGTGCAAACATGTTATGATGCATAACGTCATTGCAAGTTATGACATCATCATCAAGCACACATGTAATAATGATAATAATCATTGCACATGTTCACCTGATTGCACCAGCACTACATTTTTTTTATCTCAGGAAGCAATTAATTTGAATAGCCTAATTCACAGTGCCAGGGAGGCCCTACATGGGTAGCTCTGACATAAGTTAATAAATGAACAGGATATATTTTAAAATATTGATATATTTGCTATTTACAATGCAACAAGAGTAAAAACTGAATTACAATACATTGTAACCATCACATACCATGACAACTTTCATGCCAAATATACAGTACTCCTATGCATGTATATGAAAGCTTCGGCAAGAACTATTATCCTAAATTGCATAGGTCCTTTCAAAGCCAAATCAGTGGTCTACAGTGCATACATCCGTGTGCTGTTCACACGGTCATCAATACTGATGAATGATTATTTCTGTTTAGAGGATGGCAATTCCATGCAGGAATATTAATAGGAACATACTGTATAAAGAGAACAATTCCGCTGTAACCCACATCCAACTTATTACATCATATTCTGCCTGTTCTAACATAAATGTTTTCTTGTTTGTAAGTGACTAGTGCACTTTAAAATGCCGATCAGTGACACAAAAAGCTTAAAAATCCAAATAACTTTATTTTGTCTTACTTTCGACAGGGAGTTTGTGGGAGGAGCTAAAGGATGACAGCCTCAATATGGATCCTATCAATCTTATATCTTCTCCAGCAACGCCTCCTCCGCCACAATACTTTCTTCACAATGGCAACTGTGAGAGCAACAACAATGAGATCAACTCTCCGAACAGTAACTCCCATATGGGATTAGGAGACATCCATCTCACGCCTGTGTATTCCTCATTCATGGAGATGGACAATGCTGTTTCTTCATATCTAAATAGCTCAGGATCCAAACATGTTGCAATAGTTTAACGTAACTGACACTATTATTAGCTCAGCATGTTTCTATGCTACACTTAATATACTTATATGCAAGCTAAAACATATAAATATGTGAAATTGCATGAGTAATGTAAGAGGATTCCAAGCTTTACCAACTCTGACTGTAAAACAAAGTTCTGACACTAGAAACATTGCAATTTACTGTCTCCAGAAGTTATAGAGCCAGTAAGGCTCCTTCATTTTATTTCCTTCCTTGTCTCTTATGGCTTTCTATGTAGTGATGGCATAGAGCATCTGTAATGCACTTAATAATGTCCCTTCATGGGAGCAGACTGTCTCTGCTACAAAAACAGAGCAGTAAGCAGTTGCACATACTCATAGTGATGGGAACTGCAGGGAGTCCTGTACAGTCCTGTACATTCCTGTCTATATACAATGGGAATTTGGATACAATAGGGGAATTTTCTAAAACTGAAAAACCCCTTTAAACTATGTGAGCTAATCTATCAAAGTTAAAATATTAAAATTCTTAAGAATTACTTTTGAATTTGTTAGTTTGATGTCATTCTACAGAATTTAATTTAACTGATGTATACGTCTTTCATTTTTGAATCTAGTTATTTGTAATATTTATGTGTCCTGGCCAATATTTTGTCTAGCCACTTTAACAACATGTGTACCTAAAGGTCTATGCGGCTAAAGAATTTAATATGTATATATAAGAAGAAAAAAAAACTATTTTGTTAATTAGATCCTTTAAAATGAAATTGTTTTGAGGTTTATAATTTTCAGAATGAATGGATGTGTACAGTACAAAAAGTATTAAGATAATTTTCAGTGTGCTTTTCAATATAGGTGTTATTTGTAGATTTTATTAAAAAATGTCTGAAGCGCTTTTGAAAAAGCATTTATCATATTCTGTGTTGTGCTGGATACCTGGTACACATGCTACTGGACACATAGGACGTACGCATTGTTTATATCCCAGTATTTCATTAGGATCATCATAGAATAAGAGAAAAAAAAACGTTTCTCTTTGAGACTCATTTCATTAAACTGGCAACAACGTGTTGTGTGTTGGGACAAGCTGATTAGTGGAAGAAGCTTATGAGTGATGGAATAACCTCACGAAGATGATGGAAGAAGCACATGAGTGATGCCACAGGAAATAATCAAACAAGCTGATGAGTGATGCCACTTAGAGATGGAAATGGAAATTTCAGAGTCCTACCATATACAAGGAAATTCAAGGAACTCAGAAACATTTCAGTTGCATGCATTGATAGAGATTTCTTACGGCTTTGGGGGTGGGTCATTTCCCATTGCACTTTTTATTTCATTACGACTTTGTCATGATTTCAAATAACATGGTCTTTATTGTCCCCATGCCATAACAACTTGTAGAATGTATTGTTATCACTCTTTTATGTTTGTGCAGTATTAAAAACCCACTTTTATTTCTCTACATGGGTTTTAAAAATGATATATCATGTTTTTACATCACACAAGGGGCAACAATTTTAAAAAAGCTATTTTGTAAAGATATACATATGTTTGATAAGTAGTGATGCCATTGCTTATATTTGGAGACTGGTGGACATACTTCCTGAAAAGAGGAGAGCAATTATGTCACTCTTATGAACAGCAGTGACATCACTTGGTGTAACATGTACCCTCACTGTGATCAGAGCTGTTTACAATATAGCTCTGTAGCCTGAAAAATACTCCATACTGCAATCCCAGAAGAGTACATTAACATAAACTCCAGGCAGATGTAAGATACACAATTAATGCAGCTCTGGTTTCATTAATACATCGTTTTGAAATGCAAATAGTGTAAGTCCCTAAATCTGACTTTGTATTAGCTGAGAAGCTGAGAAGAAAGATGAGAAGAGAAGAGAGCAAGTGACAGAAAAATGAGCTTATCAGTCTGCTGCTTTTTTTTCACTTTCCATTTACAAGCAGGGGGAGGGACTAGACCTGTAAGTATTGCTTAACTCTAGCAGAAAAAAATCAGGTCTTATGCCTCAATCTCAGGACTGGATGGAGAGAAATACAAATAATCTGGCAAGTTTAACAGCTCACGTATATGTATTTCATCTGTGTATTTAGCCTTTTGCCTGGAGTTTAGCTTTAACAATAGACGCTATCTGTTGATGGATTCCAAAACCTTCTTCTGATTATTCCATGATTCTCAGCCTAGGGATAAAAGTTAACTTAAATAAAAACTGTTTCAGTCTTCAGGTCACAGTCTTTCGCACCCAGTCTTTAACCTCCAGTCTTCAGCCCGCAGACGTCAACCCCCACTCTTCAGCACACAGTCTTTGCACCCAGTCTTCAACCACTAGTCTACAACCCCCAGTCTTCAACCCCCAGGCTTTAGCACCCAGTCTACAACCCAAAGTCTTTAGCCCCCAGACTTCAACCCCCACACTTTAGTCCACAGCCTTTAACCCCCAGTCTACATTCCCCCAGGCTTTAGCACCCAGTCTACAACCCCCAGACTTTAGCACCCAGTCTTCAGCCCCCAAACTTAAACCCCCACTCTTCAGCCTGCAAGCTTTAGCACCCAGTCTTGAACCCCCAGTGTTCAGTTCACAGCCTTAAGGACCCAGTCTTTAACCCCAAATCTTCATGCCCCAGGCTTCAGCAGCCAGTCTTCGACCCCCAGCCTTTAACCCCCCAATCTTCAGCACCCCATCAAATTCTTCCTGTCGTTTACAAGACTTCACTATACATTTACTAGTGGAGGTTGATTGGTTGCTACAAGTAACAAGATTAGGTCACTTTAGAACACCATCGGACATGAGGCTTTATGGAATTATGGAATTCACAACTAGCAAAACATGTAAGTGTAAGGCTGGGTTCACACATGAAATACTATTAATTGATATGGTCATTGTTCCCACCTGGGCGTATTTCAGCGCGTTTTGTCGTGCTGAAAAACGCCCTGCTGAAAAACGGTTTCCGTCCCTTTGCGAGTGTTCGCGTCGCAAGGGACGGAAGGGCACGTAAGGGCAAAAACGCGCATATAGCAAACGCCCAGGTGTGAACCCAGCCTAAGAATAGCATCCAGCAAGCAACTTGCATTGATTAAAGAGGACCTGTTACACTGTAGTAGTCTTGATGCTGCACTTTCTCTCTTTTTGGTAGCATTATGTCTTCCACAAAATAACGGGTCTTGTGAAAATGTAAGAAGAAGAATAATGTAAATCTTACTGTAAAGTAAAAAGGAGTTTAGAGATTTCCTCTGTTTTACAATGCTCATAAAAGTAGCCAATTATATTTTGCTTCCACTGTTGCGTATTTAATATAGTCATACAGCTCCACTATCTTTACATGTCATGTTCAGGGTTAATGATCCCAACTTTAATCTACTAACACACTTCCATAAAGCATATTTATGTGTATACGCTGAATATTTATAAAGCAATGCTATCAGATATATGTAAAATTGGAGGGAAATTGTACATTTTGTTCAGATAAATTCATCCATATTTTGCACACATTTTTTATCAAGTGCATAATATATTCTTGCTGAAGTTTCTCTTTCTTATTGCTATAAATAAAAAACTGACTTTGCTTTCATAAAATAAATTGGTGGTGTCGGTGTTCTGTTATATATGGAAAATTCTGCATTGACAGATGATTATATTCTTCTAGGAACCCAAACTGACAGATGACCTTCATTATCCAGTATATAGTGACACTGAGATGCTCAGGAGATGATATTAACAGGGTACACAAGCATTCTGCAAATCTGTTGCTTTCCTAAAGTATATCTAAATATAAAATTTTATTTTTAAAAAACTTTTGCATAAGGTATGGAAGGGCTTTTTTGCTGTCTATTCCCTATTAGGGTAATTTCCCTTCACCTCCTGTCCTGTAGACACAATAGTGAGAGGAAATCTCTCCAAAGTGAGATAAATCCTCTTTTAAGACAGTTGTTAGGACAACAAGTGTCCCCATTGGAAGACATCCCCTCTTCTTGTTCTGGTGACAGCTCAAACATGTGGATTTACCCTCACTTTAGGTCCCGGTGACAATGCTAGGACTAATACAGAGGGTGAATCATAAGGTGAATCTAACAAATGAGTAGCAATAGGGACATAAAAAAAACCGACAAGGTACTAACCCTTCCCTATTCTATCCAAAACTAATTTTAAAAAGTTGTGCTGGGAGAAAAGGAAAGGTCTGTGTTTCCCATAGTGATAAAACTTGGGGCTGATTTATAAGGGAAAGCTATTGGACTGTATATTTAACCCAGAGCACCTAAACAGGCTCATATGCTAACCTATACTACAAAAAAATAGGAAAAAATGATACATGACATCTGCTATGTGGAACACTTCAATTTACCTTAAAAACCCATACCATGAGATTCATAGAGTGTCTACGACACTATTTGGTGCAAGCACTGTCATTTGCAGTGCGGAGGCGCACTGTGGCCGGAGTACCAGACACTCTGTCCTCATTGCAGACCACCATCTTTAATGGCAGCTGCACCTGTCATATAGCGCTGAAGTGGCCAAGGAGTTTTTCCAGTGGGTAGGTTGAGCCTGATGGGGAATCTGAGGGATTAGTTCCCCATCAGGTCCGCTCCCCTGGTGAGTGACAGAAGTGGGCTGATTCTATAGCCAATACACAGCCTGCTATTGACTAAGGAGTTTGCCCATTGCCTGATGTCAATCACTAGCAGAGCGTACCTAATGGGGAACTAGTCCCTCGATATAGCCATTGGGTTTAATTCATGGTCAGTGTCACTGGTTGTTAAGGATGCTTACGATTACACCCATATTTGGGTAAGGATTTTGGGTAAGGATGTTAGCCAGCATCCCTGGCCCCTTTGTTTATATTCAGCTGCCAGCTGGGAAATCTCTTGGCCACCAGCTGAATGGGGACAAGGATGCATAATTGGTTGCTAAGATGCTGGCTACCCAACCCCTGGTGAGAATTCTTTTTGAATCTGTCACAGCCATAGCAACAGGCTCTGAAATTGGCAGCAATATGAACTACCCAAATCTGCCAGATATGTCGGAACTGCAACTGAAACTGTCGCAAGCCTTTCATGAATTAGGCACAGGTTGTTTTAAAGGGTCTATACCACCAACAAATTGCCATGCATGCTTTACTG